AAAGATTCTAGAGCTTTTTATTTATGAATGGCCCTATTAATGAGAGTTTCAAGTCGGTTTAGTTACCCAACTTTCACCCGAGTACACTATTTCAAAGCTAGAACTATTTTCTCTACTGATTTAGATGCTGTGCATTCCAGAATGAAAGATTCTAGAGCTTTTTATTTATTAATGGCCCTATTTTGCTAGAATTCCGAGTCGGTTTAGTTACCCAGCTGCACTTTTCATTGATCAATAACTTTCGTTGATCAATTGATCAATAACTCTTCTTGTTAGCGTGCATCAATCGTATTTGATATTGTGTCTAAATGATTTAAATGATGACCTTGTCTGTTGGAGGCAAGGGGGAGGAAGGGGAAGAGGGGGAAGAGGGGGAAGAGGGTGGAAGAGGGGGGAAGAAGGGTGAGAAGGGTGAGAAGGGTGAGAAGGCTTCAGCTCAAGAAAAAGACAAAAGCTAACACGACAACACTTGATTTTTCCTCTCATTTCCCATTTAGCCTTCCAGCGATCATTGTCATCATATGGAATTTCGCCGAAAATTTTCTCCCAACTCAATAAAAAACGTCTATTTTTCGTTCAATTTGAAACTTTTGATTTTTCAAATTTTCAAATTCCCAGCTCGAATCTTTTCTTTAGCTTCTTGGAGCTTCATGGAGCTTCTTTAGCTTCTTGAAGCTTCATGGAGCTTCTTTAGCTTCTTGGAGCTTCATGGAGCTTCTTTAGCTTCTTGGAGCTTCATGGAGCTTCTTTAGCTTCTTGGAGCTTCATGGAGCTTCTTGGAGCTTCTTGGAGCTTCTTGGAGCTTCTTTAGCTTCTTGGAGCTTCATGGAGCTCTTTAGCTTCTTGGAGCTTCATGGAGCTTTGGAGCTCTTGGGCTCTTGGGCTTCTTTAGCTCTTGGGCTTCATGGAGCTTTAGCTTCTTGGAGCTTCATGGAGCTTCTTGGAGCTTCTTGGAGCTTCATGGAGCTTCTTTAGCTTCTTGGAGCTTCATGGAGCTTCTTTAGCTTTCTTTAGCTTCAGTTTGAAGTTTCCCAACTTTTACAATCAATTGCAGTTTTTGTGGAGAAGCCGTCTATCCTTTTTCATTTGAATTAACAAAGCTTTTTGCCAAAAATCTATCTGCACTCAAGTTTGTAAATGCAAAAAAAAACCAAAAAAACAAAAAAATCTACCTGCACCCTTCCACAATAGGTTTGTTTTAAGGAAACTTTTCATTTTTGATACTCTAGCTTGAGGAAATTAAACTAAATGATGATCTTGTCTGTTGGAGGAAAGGGGGAAGAGGGGGAAGGGGAAGAGGGGTAGAGGGGAAGAGGGGAAGAGGGGAAGAGGAGAAGAGGGAGGAAGAATGTTCATTTTAAGGAAGAGGGGGGAGAATGTTCGTTTTAAGGAAACTTTTCATTTTTGATACTCTAAATGTAAAGCTTGAGGAAATTAAACTATAAAGTAAGCTAAAGTTGAGGAAATTAAAAAAGTAACGATCAAATGAACTTGAAAATTCTCACGAAAAGACTTTCGATCTCATAAATCTCATCCTACTCTTTTCTCTCTTTCTTCTCGAAAATGAGGACAAGGTAATTCTTGAGTTTTTTTTTGTGAATTGTGAATAGGGAGCGGTCTCTCGATCTTTTTTTTCTCTCAATTCAAAACTAGACTTATTTCTTTGTGAGAAAACTGAGCACAGCTTTTTATTAGCAATTGTGTTAAGATTTCTGGATTTGAAAAAAGTTTTTGAGCTATCTGGAACGCATAGAATCTTCAGTCTTCATTTTTTTCGTTCTCTGTTAAGTACAAAAAAGTGACCAAGTTGGGGTAATTGCTTGAGCACCAGAGCTGCTTGAGAATTGCTTGAGAACGAGAGCTTGGGACAGCTTGCAAACGTTTAGATCTTTCATTCTGGAACGCACAGCATTTAAATCAGTAAAGAAAATGGTGTGCTAGACTCAGTTCGAAGTTGATGGTAGTTGCGCAACTGAACCGATCAATAATTCTTTGAAAGTAAGCGTTCTTACAACAAATAAAGACTCAAATCGTTCATTCTGGAACTCACAACAATCACTCAGCAAGCCTAGAACAAACATTTTTAGCTTTTCAAGCCCGGTTCAGTTACCCAAGTCACTTGATTCTCCCATAACTCTCGTCCATCTCGTCCATCTCGTCACTTCTTTGAGGTCTCTATTTCATTGCATTCTTTCCCCTTTTCCCATTTTCCCATTTTTGATCATTCTCATTGCCATTTCCAAAACTTTTCCCACACCCATTTCTTGTCCTTTCCCCAATGACATCTCCCCTTCTCCAGCTGACCTTCCAGAGTTCTTTAGGGTGGAAGTCTTTGCTTGCCTTGCTTTCTTTCCTTTCTTTGCTTGCCTTTCTTCCCATTTCCTATCAATAACCATTCTCAATCCTTTCTCCTGTTCCAATATCAATTCTCTCTCAGGTTTATCATGCTTTCATTCTTGATTCTGAAGCGGATCAAAAAATAGGGAATCAGATTTGGTTTCTGGAAGCTAAACTCAAGCTAAACTCAAGCTAGATTCAAGCTAGACTCAAGCTAGACCCAAGCTAGACTTAAGCTAGACTCAACCTAGACTCAACCTAGACTCAAGCTAGACTTCCCTGAAAAGAATTCTCAGATTTGGTTGTACTTGGCTGGGGTAGAGAAGCCTGTTTGTCAAGTCAAGTCAATGGCAAGAAAGAAAAGAAAACCAAAAAAAAAAGGTAAAGCCAAACCCATAGAAAAGCTCTGAAGAACCCTCGTCTTTACCCTTAACTGAAACCGGACATCCCTTTTCGTTCACTAGGGACGACCTTGACTCGATTAGCACCACCCTTCTCCTGTCTTCAAATCTGGCAAATCTTTAAGCTAGCATTGATTTGTGTAAGACTTTGTATACGTCGTGAATCATTTTCCCCTGTCTTTTCTACCCGTTTCAATTACCCAACTTGATCCGATCTCGTCATTCACCATTATTCTCGCTTCATTGTCTCCTGTGACCTCCAGATCTCTCAAAAAGTTTATCAAATCTCAGCTCTAAGCTTTTCACGGCTACTGTCAGCTAGCCGGTTTAATTTCGCAACTTGGCCCGATTTTTTCTATCACGATATACACCATTATTCTCCCTTCATTGTCTCCTGTGACCTCCAGATCTCTCAAAAAGTTTATCAAATCTCAGCTCTAAGCTTTTCACGGCTACTGTCGGCTAGCCGGTTTAATTACGCAACTTGACCCGATTTTTTTCTATCTCGACATTCCCCATTATTCTCGCTTCATTGTCTCCCGTGACCTCCAGATCTCTCAAAAAATTTATCAAATCTCCGCTCTAAGCTTTTCACGGCTACTGTCAACCAGCCGGTTTAATTACGCAACTTTTGGAACTTCAATCTTTGCTCAATCAAGATCTGCGAATTTCTCAGCGTGCTACATGAGCTCCAGTTTAAACAAAACTTGATTGATTTTAAACCCAACTTTTCTTAGCTCCGAGAAATCGACAAGAAATCGATAAATCTTCCATTGTCAGCTTTCTCACAAAATAATCAGTCCATGAAAAAGGTTTTCCGCAAAAATTGATTCAAAAAAACTCTCTGAGCAAATCCCAGCTGTCTTTTGCTTCTTTCTTTCTTTCTTTCTTTCTTTCTTTTAGCATCTGCTTCTTTCTTTTCACGATTTCCTCTCAAATTTCTCACTTTTCAAAAAAATTTCAGATTTCAACAACATTTCATTGGCTGGCTCTCTTTTCCAGCTTTATTTTCTGAATTTTCGATGATCCTGGAGGGCAGTATGGCCCAGTGAATTAATCGTTTTCTAAACATTTCCCCATTTCCCCATTTCCCCAATCGTACTTCTCGATCGTCGACTATTGAGCGAATTTCTCGGCGATTCTCTAAGCCTTCGAATTGTTGTCTGAATTTTGTCTGAATTTTGTCTGATCCTTTGTGCATTCTGGGATTTTCTGGAATCCACAAAATGCGTCAATTCGACTCTTCTCTCAAAGCGCCGACATTCAGCGTGCTCTCGCCATGGGCTTTTTACATCAATCACATCAACAGTGAGATGATGGTGGGCGAAAATGAAAAAAAAAAGATTTTTTGTGAAAATAATGAAGTATACGTTCCTAGGTGTAAACGGATGTGGACTAGAATTTGGGTTATGTTAATGTTATGTTAAAGAGAGTGGATCCATTTTGATATCCCGCCATCTCTAACACCCCGACAACCCAACTCAACTCCTCTAACGTATTAGAGGGGAGTCCCTGTGAAATGACCGACCTGTAGTTGCACTGCAGTTGCATAGACCCGGAAGATACGTATCTTTATTTACAGTAATACAATAAGATGAATAGATTAGAAATGAGTGTAAGGGGAAGGGGGGACTCCAAATGAGAGTCTCACTTGTCCTCCTACTCCTAGGCTCCTCACTGTCCTCCTAGGCTCCTCACTGTCCTCCTAGGCAATCCTAAGGACCGCCCCTTCTCGGCAATAAAAGGGATAAGCACAGAGGAGAACACATTTGCATAAGATTAGACAAAGCATTCAATGATAACAATAGTAACTAAACTATCAGTTTGGCTCGGAGCTGACAGAAGTCAACAAGCTCTTAGCTTTCTGTTTAAGGGGAATCTGGCGATAGTCTGACGATAGTCTGCGATAGTCCAACTCGTTTAATTAAGCGATTACCGAGAATCAACCGGTTTAATTACCCAAGTTTAATTTAATCGCTGCCTAAAAAAAAAATTTTTTATTTTTATTTTTTTTCAAATTTTTCTATTTCTACTCATATTCTGACATCCAAAATTACCAAAAAAAATTTCAAATTTTTAAAATCAAAAAAATAACATCAATTTTCTAAGGGCTTCTCGAAAACGTGATAGAAAAAAAAGCGATTTTCTTGTTCTAGCATGTGATTTACGAATAGGCTTTACGATTTTCTTTATGCTGCCATCCAGCATTGAGATTCTGTCTAATTTCCCTCCATGTTCGTGATGTGGATCGCAAGATTTTAGCACCTAAAGCAAGCGTCGTCGTCGTCGACGTCGACGTCGTCGTCGTCGCCGTCGTTGCTGTTCGCGTCGACGCCAGCATCGACATCGACCTCTGACGGGCAAACGGTGAACAACAACATGGCGATAAAGACGATTCACTCGGATCAGAATTCGATTGGGCATTCTTTATCGAATGGAAGCTTTGGATCGAGCACATCGGATGATCCGATCGAGCAGCGATCATCGAATGTAAGTTTTGTTATTGGGTTGGTGAATTGAAAACTGCTGGACTTTGAACTAAAATTCAACATTCAATTTATTGAACATAAAACCATGAATTCATTCCAAATAATTTCCATTATTATTGACGACTTTTGGCCATTTTAAAGGCAATTTGCGGATTGGTTTTTGTCTGAGACAAGTGTGAGACTCAAAAATGGAGGACTGGTGATGCCCCAGTGTCCCAGTTCTCACACTTTCTTCAAAAGAAACCCATTCTGATCTCAATGGAAAAGTTGTAGAGAATCAAAAATTAAGCTTATAGCCAAATTTTCAGAGCGATTCAAAAGCTGGTTTTCAAGAAATGCCAAATTTACGAATTTTCACCAAAATTTTCATTTTAAGCGAAACTACTGAGTGTATCTTTTTGAAAATTTCGCTATAAGCCTCATTTTTGATTCTCTACAACTTTTCTATTGACACCAAAATGGGTTTCTTTTGAAGAAAGTGCTCAAACTGGGACACTGGGACATCTCCATCTCCTCGATTTTTGAGTCTCACACTTGTCTCACACAAAAACCAAAATCCTACCACGAAAGAGAAATCCGCAAATTGCCTGTAAAATGGGTTTCTTTTGAAGAAAGTGCTCAAACTGGGACATATGACAAAAGCCGACAGTTTTCAATTCACCAATCCAATAGTTCGTGCAATGATAAGCTTTCGCAAAATCAAATCGAAATCTTCTCTTTAATCAGATCGAAATCTCTTTCATCATCTCTTTCATCGTCTCTTTCATCACTGCATTCGAATATCATTCTTTAAACTTCAAAAAGCTTATCATTGTACATAAAATTGACCCCAATCGCTTCCCCCACTTTGCTTGTGTTGAAGATTGCCGAGTTTTCTTTGCAAATCAATGTAGTGTCTAGAGTTTTAATGAATTATTTATTAATCCTGGATATCACATGAAAATTTAAGAATAAAAAATCATTCAAAAATTGCATTTAAAAATTTTGAATTTGAATTTTGAAAAATTTAAATTTTCAAATAAAATTTCTAAAATTTTAGAAAGAAAATCATGAAAAGACTCATCAAAACAACAACAATAACAACAATGGAACACAGCAGCGATTGCAGAATCAGCAGAATCAGAGAGACGAGAATGAGCCGGTTCGAGTGAGGAGTCAACCAAGAGAGCAGAAAGGAGCACCGTCGAGGAAGATGACTGACAATGAGGTGAACAACACAAAAAAGGAAATCTAATCCAAATCTAATCGAAATCGAAATCGAACTCTTTTATCACCTAGTGTGCACTCCAGAATGATCAGCTGTTCAGAGAAATTCTCAAAGTTTACAAAATTCTTAGCCAATTTCGTTACCCAACTGAATCGGTCGGCTCAGATTCGATTAAGTTTCGGTAAAAGCTTTTATTTCAAGCTTTTAAAAGCTTTCTGGTTCAAAGTTTGATGGGAATCTGGTTTTAAATCTGGCTTTAGATCTGGTTTTAAATCTGGTTTTAAATCTGGTTTTAAATCTGGTTTTAAATCTAGTTTTAAATCTAGTTTTAAATCTGGTCTTAAATCTAATCTTAAATCTAGTCTTAAATCTGGTTTTAAATCTGGTTTTAAATCTGGTTTTAAATCTAGTTTTAAATCTAGTTTTAAATCTAGTTTTAAATCTGGTCTTAAATCCGGTCTTAAATCTGGTCTTAAATCTAGTCTTAAATCTAGTCTTAAATCTAGTCTTAAATCTGGTTTTAAATCTGGTTTTAAATCTGGTTTTAAATCTAGTTTTAAATCTAGTTTTAAATCTAGTTTTAAATCTGGTCTTAAATCCGGTCTTAAATCTGGTCTTAAATCTAGTCTTAAATCTAGTCTTAAATCTAGTCTTAAATCTGGTTTTAAATTTGGTCTTAAATCTAGTTCTAAAAAAACCATCAAAGCTTCCAGGTGCTTGACGAGTTGAGATTGATCGTCAACTGTGGAAACCCGTTGGACAAATATGAAACGAAGAGGCAAATTGGAGTCGGGTTTGTGAATTTGTGAATTTCTCTGTTTTTCAAAGAAATCTTCCAAACTGGAACTGACGAAAGAGAATTTGCAAAATAAATTAGTTATTAGTAGTTAAAATTACTAGTTTCGGTTCTTCGGCTAAGATCAAGGTGTAGCTTCTGATCTCTGGCTAAGATCAATGCGTAGCTTCTGATCTCTGGCTAAGATCAATGTGTAGCTTCTGGCCTCTGGCTAAGATCAAGGTGTAGCTTCTGATCTCTGGCTAAGATCAATGTGTAGCTTCTGATCTCTGGCTAAGATCAATGCGTAGCTTCTGATCTCTGGCTAAGATCAATGTGTAGCTTCTGGCCTCTGGCTAAGATCAAGGTGTAGCTTCTGGCCTCTGGCTAAGATCAATGTGTAGTTGACCATTTCAGCGCTTCCGGTACCGTGTTCGTGGCTCAGCGACGAGATGGTGGCGATGTGGTGGCCGTGAAGAGGTGAGTTGAGAAAATCGCTTAGGCTTAGGTTTTAAAAATGCTGATCCTGGATATCACAGGCTATTTTGCTGGAGTTAGATTTCTAAAATCTCTAAAAAAATCACTTAATTTCAGAATGGCATTCAAATCGCAACCGAAAAAGGAGATGCTGTTGACGGAGATTAAAGTCATGCAACAGTACAAACATCCGGTTCGTTTTTTGAGCTCTGTGATATCCAGCTTGAGTAAAAAAGTTGATTTTTGCTCGATTCACGGAGTTAGAGTCGTAAATTTTCCTCCGGTTTAGTTACGCGACCCGTAGCTGCTTGGTGATTTGTGTTTTAAAGCTTTAAATTTGGAAATTTAAAGAAAGGGAATTTTCGAATGACCTCCAGATCGTCTAAAAACGTCTAAAAAACTTTATAAACTTTACAAAATCTGGAAATAGAGCCAAGAAATCGCGTTGGTTTAGTTGCTATTGTTTCCGGAGAATTTTCTGGGTAAAAAAAACAGAGACCTGGGCCACGACACCGACCGCTGAACGAGCCCTGAGAATAACGCATCGAGTCTTTGAAAGGAACCTCCTCGGGTACAATAGCAAGACGCAGCTCGACCAAGACCTAAGAAGTACGGATATGCGCCAGCTCTCGGGACTCAGAGATCCAGTGGAAGTGATTGAGAGAAAAAGACTCAGATGAGCCGGCCACGTAGCCAGAAGAAGAGACGACAGATGGACGATACGGATCACAGAGTGGCTACCACGAGACCAGAAGAGGCCCATCGGAAGACCAGCAACGAGGTGGAGCACAAGAGTGGCAGAGACGGTCAGAGAAAGGATGGCTACAGTGCAACCACCACCAGCACCAGCAAGTCGAAGTCTTCGAACCAGGAACAATCAAACTAGGAAACACTGGATGACAATAGCAAGGGATAGAGAAATGTGAAAGCAGGTTGTGATCTGCCCAAATAGGAACACCTGAGTGCGAAAACAGATTAAAAAAAAATTTCTGGGTAATTTTCTGGGTAAAATGGGTTCTCTTTCACAAAATTTCCTCTCGGCAATTTTTTGAAAGACTATTGTCTCTCAAAGTTTGGAATTGAGAGAAACTGATAAATGATTACAATCGGCCGACAGGTCGAGATGATAGATTGGAAAGTGTCATTAGCTGTACATTGTACTAGATTTTCAAAAACGAAATAAGCAGCTAATTTATATTAAAATAGCTTCTGTGCCATCCAAAATGAAAAGATCATCAAAATGCTGGTCACTCTAGCTACCGTTTACCCGACATATTAGCCCAATCCGGTTCCTGGCTCTCCACCGAAATCCCAAAAATCATCCAAATGTCAAAAATCGAAACTCAATAAATTCTGTGCATGCCAGAATGGCTAAATTTCGTTTTTCAAAACATTTTTTACCCTTTAGAACCTCGTCAACTACATCGAGTCCTATTTGGTCGATGCTGATGATCTCTGGGTGGTCATGGACTATTTGGAGGTAAGATAGAGCTTTGTTATGAGTTCTAGGATCGAGTTTTCAGGGCGGAAACCTGACGGATGTGGTTGTGAAAACCGAGTTGGACGAGGGACAAATTTCAGCTGTGTTGAAGGAGTGTTTGAAAGCGTTGCACTTCTTGCACAGGTAGCGAATTGTCAATTTTGACTGATATTCTTTCATTCTAGATGTCACTTCTAAAGAAAATAGTAATTAGGCCTTTCTGGATTGGCTAGGGTAAAGGCTAGTTTAGGCTCAGGCTTAGGCTTAGCTCAGGTTTAGGCTCAGGTTCAAGCTCAGGCTCAGGCTAGGCTTAGGCTTGGACTTAGTGCGAAGGCTAGCGGCTAGCGCTTAGCACTAAATCTATTTGGGTTTGGGCTGAACCCCCATTTTCTGGATCTCAGCCAGTTCCCGGAGCTAAGGCACTTAGGCTTAGGCTTAGCTCAAGCTCAGGTTTAGGCTCAGGTTTAGGCTCAGGTTTAAGCTCAGGCTCAGGCTAGGCTTAGGCTCAGGCTTAGGCTTAGGCTTAGGCTTAGCTCAAGCTCAGGCTTAGGCTTAGCTCAGGCTCAGGTTTAGGCTCAGGTTCAAGCTCAGGCTCAGACTCAGGCTCAGATTCAGACTCAGGCTCAGACTCAGACTCAGACTCAGGCTTAAGCTCAGGCCTAAGCCTTGCTATCATTGTTTCCAGCCATTCGATCGTCCATCGGGACATCAAATCGGACAACGTTTTGCTTGGAATGGATGGTGCTGTGAAGTTGACTGATATGGGTTTCTGTGCCCAGATACAGCCGGGAAGCAAGCGGTGAGTGGCAGAGAGGCTTTGGGCGAGTTCCCTTTGATTGCAAAGTCGAACCCTAAGATTTTCAGAGATACAGTCGTCGGCACGCCATACTGGATGTCACCGGAGATTTTGAACAAGAAAAAGTACAACTATAAAGTGGATATTTGGTCATTGGGTATTATGGGATTGGAGATGATTGATGGAGAGCCACCGTATCTACACGAAACACCGTTAAAGGTGGGTTTTAGATGTGATTCTGGATGACAATCGCCTTTTTGAAAGCTTTTGAAAGCTTCAGCCTTCAATTTCAGGCTATCTACTTGATTGCTCAAAATGGGAAACCGGAAATCAAGAAGCGGAACGAGTTGAGCCCTGAATTCGTGCACTTTTTGGACAGGTGAGTTACCGAATTTCAAATTTCATCAATCTGGAAGGCACATAATGTAATGAATGAAATTATTTATAGAAAAATTAAAATTTTTAAAAAAAGTGACAAGTTGCGTAATTGAACCAACTCAAAATAAAAAAAGATCTCGATTCTTTCCAAAAATCGCTTAAAAAGCAGCTGTGCGTTCCAGGATTTGCTATTTTGATTGAAAAAAAAGAAAGATCTTGTTTTAGATGCCTTGTCGTCGATCCCGAATGTCGAGCCGACACAAAAGAGCTCCTCAATCATCCATTCATCTCGCGAGCAAAGCCGTTAAACGCTTTAATTCCGTACATTAAAGCGGTTAAAGAATTGAAAGAAAAGGGAAAATAAGAGAGAGAGAAAGAAAAGATCAAAACTGTTTAGAAAAAAAAAAGCTTAATTTTAATGTTTTTTCAAAATCTTTGACTCATTTCATTTCATCAGCCGGTCGTTTTTTTTTCTTTGCTTTATTCTCTTCATATTCAAACATTTTCGATCATCTATCCTATTCAAAAGTGAATTTTTTTGTCATTTTTTAATCTTTTAAAAATCTAGCCTTGTTCCCAATCATTCAAGCTATTTTCAGTCAAGCGATTTCACCATTTTTGAGTTCCTCGCGATTTTTTGGTGATAGCCTTTATGAATTTCGAAAATTTCTCGTTATTTCACCAAATTGGACCGCACACTTTATCGACTTTTATCGATTTTTATCGAAAAGTGCGAAAACAAAAGAAAATTGCACAAAGATTTTTTGATTGAAAACTTCGCAAAGCCGCAACTTTCATGGGTTGTAAGATTTTTAAAAACTGACTTTAACAAAATGAATCCTGGAACGCACAACAAATTTTCGCATTTGCAGATTCAAATTTGCATATAAAGTTCCCGTGGCCGAGTGGTCTATGGCGCCGTTTCCAAGGCGAGTGATCCGGGTTCGATTCCGGGTGCGGTCAAATTTTCGAAAATTGTTGAAAAATTGTTGAAAATCGTTTCGCAAACGCTTCTACACTTTCTAGTGTCACTAGAAATCCCCTAAAATCCCCCAAAGTCCCCCAAAATTCCCCAAAATTCCCCAAAAATCTTCATTTTTCTCCACCACCACACTTACACAGGTACATTCAAATATCGGTTTTTCGTTTTCTTTTTCTTTTTTTGTGTGAAGTTTGAAATTGAAAGCCATGAAATTGGGTTTTCTCTTTAATTCTGGCCATCGGCTATCGGCTATTTTTGTGTTTTTTTTGTTTTTTTTCTAAAAACATTTCTATTGCTCATCGTTCGGTTGCTTTCAAAAAAAAAAAAAAAAAATTTTTATATTTTTTTATTCGAATTTTTCAGACTTAAAATGCCTCTCGTGTGTTTAAAAATATTCAATTATTCAATTATTCAATTACCATTTACCAATACAATTACCATTTACCCAATCGAAGTCCCGCGTGCTTTTCTTTTTTTGTTTAAAGAAGTGTTTCATTTCATTTCATTCATCACTGTATATTTATTTAAAAACCTCCATTTTCTTTTTCGAATTTGCATAAATGGTTGGTATTTTTTGTAAAAAATCAAAAAAGAAAACAGATAAATATTCAATAATTTGCCTAAAAAAACGCCAACTGCAACACTGAAATCGTTGAAATCGAGAGCCCTCGATTTTCTGTGCTTTCAAATAAAAAACAAGATCACTATATCCAATTTTTGCATCCATTTACCATTTACCCTTCCCAATCCGATGACGGACCGCATATAAACGGACCGCATATAAAATTCAAATGCTCTCAGCTCCAAGAGATCTGGAGTGCTTTAGAAAACTTCTTCAAATGGAGAACATAGAAGGCTCAAGAATTGAATCAAGAATTGAATCAAGAATGGATTCAAGAATTGCTTCAAGAATTATATTTCAGAAATTATATTTCAGGATCATGAAAGCTCAGGCTCTTCGTGATTCAGCAACGATGTGTTACATGGCAGGCAAGAAGCACCTCGAGATCAATCCCGAACATCCAGAATTGCTTCAAGAATTGACTCAAGAATTGACTCAAGAATGGATTCAAGAACTGCTCCAAGAAAGGATTCAAGAATTGCTTCAAGAATGGATGGAATTGCTTCAAGAATGGATTCACGGCTTTAAACGGGTTTAATTGTTATAGATTTCAGTGAAGTCACTTCAAAAAATGCATATTTTTCACTCAAAATTCACCAAAATTTATTTATTAATCAAAAAAACTTGAATGTTCAGCGACATTTTGAGCTTGTTTTTCTGCGAACATTGGCTTGTTGGCTTGTTGTCTTTTGTTGTCTTTTGTTGGCTTGTTGTCTTTTGTTGTCTTTTCTTGGCTTGTTGTCTTTTGTTGTCTTTTGTTGGATTGTTGTCTTTTGTTGGCTTGTTTCTCTGCGAAATCATTGGCTTGATTTTTCTAAAAGAAAAACTCTTAATAGAAATATTGTAAAGCAAGTTAAGAGTAAGTTAAGCTCTTTTTATTTCCTTACTTTATAGTCGGTGTGTTCCCATTTGGATTGAGTCTCGAGTTGATCATTTCGACGATCGTACCCAGTCACGTCTTTGAACTCATCAGGAACCTTGAAACCTTGAAACCTTGAAACCTTGGAATTTTGATATTTTGATATTTTGATATTTTACAGTTGAATGAGTGAGTTTATTTGAAGTTTTTCTTTTGTATTTACAAGGTTCATTCGTATAAGTTGGTACATTGTGGAAAATAGTCTTCCAATTGCAGTCTTCCAATTGCAGTCTTCCAATTGCAGTCTTCCAATTGCAGTCTTCCAATTGCAGTCTTCCAATTGCAGTCTTCCAATTGCAGTCTTCCAATTGCAGTCTTCCAATTGCAGTCTTCCAATTGCAGTCTTCCAATTGCAGTCTTCCAATTGCAGTCTTCCAATTGCAGTCTTCCAATTGCAGTCTTCCAATTGCAGTCTTCCAATTGCAGTCTTCCAATTGCAGTCTTCCAATTGCAGTCTTCCAATTGCAGTCTTCCAATTGCAGTCTTCCAAATAGTCTTCCAATTGCAAAAGCCTTTTTTTAACATATTTACTTTTATAAAATTTTACTTGACTTTTTTTCTAATTACCGTATTTTCTCTAATAGTAGTGCACCGGGGGGAGCCGAGTTGATGCCTATTTTACAGTTTCCAAGCTTTCCCAGAAGCTCAACACTCAAATCCCCCACTGGATCTCATCGTCAGCTACATTTTCCGACCCCACATCGATAGGTTCTGATAAGCAGTTCTCGAGATTTCGAGGAATTTAGGCGACGCTCAGGGCTCGAAGCTCGACGCTCGACGCTCGACGCTCGACGCTACTAGTAGAGAAAATACGATATTAAAAATCTAGATCTAGACGTTATATTGGATTAATTTCTAAAATAACACAAAAACTGTTAGTGCTCAACTTGGGTTTAGCTCTGGTAGCCTGATCAGAATTCCGAGTTTAAACACAAATGTCAGGGATCAATTGTACAAGCACAAAAATCCAATTTTCCAATTCTTGAGCTATTTTTGCTGACCTTAACGTTGCTCTTGTCGTTTCATTTCCTGCAAAAGTCTCAATCTCGAAAGAAGAGTGTTTATAGTGGAAAATTTGATGAGCGACGAAGAGAAGGACCAAACTGTTGTTGGAGAAGCTCGAAAAAGAATTGCTTTGATTGCAGGACACGAAAAAGAGCTTTTGCAAGATTTGAGAGCAGAAAGTGCAAATGAAAAAAGGAAAAGAAAGCCTAAGAAGTCAAAGCCTAAGAAGTCAAAGCAGTCAAAGCAGTCAAAGCAGTCAAAGCAGTCAAAGCAGTCAAAGCCTAAGCAGTCAAAGCAGTCAAAGCAGTCAAAGCAGTCAAAGCAGTCAAAGCAGTCAAAGCCTAAGCAGTCAAAGCAGTCAAAGCAGTCAAAGCAGTCAAAGCAGTCAAAGCCTAAGCAGTCAAAGCAGTCAAAGCCTAAGCAGTCAAAGCAGTCAAAGCAGTCAAAGCAGTCAAAGCAGTCAAAGCCTAAGCAGTCAAAGCAGTCAAAGCAGTCAAAGCAGTCAAAGCAGTCAAAGCCTAAGCAGTCAAAGCAGTCAAAGCCTAAGCAGTCAAAGCAGTCAAAGCAGTCAAAGCCTAAGCAGTCAAAGCAGTCAAAGCAGTCAAAGCAGTCAAAGCAGTCAAAGCAGTCAAAGCCTAAGCAGTCAAAGCAGTCAAAGCAGTCAAAGCAGTCAAAGCAGTCAAAGCAGTCAAAGCAGTCAAAGCAGTCAAAGCAGTCAAAGCAGTCAAAGCAGTCAAAGCAGTCAAAGCAGTCAAAGCCTAAGCGTTTCGATAATGTTTCACTGACACTAAAATAGAAAACTATTTAAACATAAAATTTGATTTCCAACTGGCTGGATGACGTCTAAAATTTGAAATTTGGATCTAAAATGTAAAATTTCCATTTAAAGATCAAATAAAAGGAAATCAAGATGACGACTTTATCTTTATTCGCAAGCTCTTCTTCGCCTTTATTAGTAAGTTTTTTTTTCTTTTCTTTATTTTTAGCACTTAGTTTTGTTATATTGCTTAATTTTCTTGATTGCTTAATTTTCTTAATCATTTTTCATTTTCAATCAACTAACTAACTTGGCTTTTATGGGAAACCAAAGGTGATTAATATTAGGTTGTCCAGTTATGAATGCGCGTTTTTACTATTTTGTAAATTTTTCAGGATATCGAACGGATCTATATGAGTGTTATATACCATTCGAAAGCTGAAGATCTCCTCTACATTTTGATATAAAAAACCTTTGGAATTTGTTCAGCTTTTGGGCAAATTGACTGCACAAAGGGAGAGGTCGTTTTCGAAAAAACCCATTTCAGTTTAGCTATTCCTCAAGTTTTATGGTGTAAAATAACCGCCCAGAAAAGAAAAGAAAAGTAAAGATGCTCTGAAATTGTTATATTTAAAAAGAAGTTGTATTGATATATCTATTGGCCAAGCATCAAACGGTTAACTCACTTTGAGCGGAGCCAAAACTTGATCCAAAGACACCCTTCCATTTTCCACCTCTTCTTCGGTGCAGTCAATTTGCCCAAAAGCTGAACAAATGCAAAAACTTTTTATATCAAAATGTAGAGGAGATCTTCAGCTTTCGAATAATACTCATTTATATGTTTTTCCTGATTTCGGTATCTTGAGAAATTTACAAAATAGTAAAAAACGCGCATTCATAACTGGACAACCCAATATATTGAACCTCTTAACAGAGTTGAATCGAACAGTGTTGTTATACAAATTGACTAAAAGCGAAATTGGTTATTTTTTTAATCTAGATATACTATTAGGTTGATGCAAAAGTCTTTTTCATTTTTTTTCGTACTTCTTTTGAAAAATAACAAAGTCATCAATTCAACCTATGGTTTGCTCTAAATGAAAAGTGTTTTATTGTTGAATTTCCCATCTTTTTAAGTCAATTTGGGTTCACTTTCAAGCAAATTCGAGAGTGAAAAACGGGTTTTTCATAAAAATCTATAAAAACCTCTATAAAGAAATTGGCTGAATCAATTTCTCTGAAAATCTGAAAAGATATCTAACTTTTTGTGCTCTATCTTTTATTTATTAACATCAAGATTGATTTCCTTAGCTAAAGCGTCTAAAATGCATCATCGAGCCGTCGCCTTTTTGACTACCCGACTTCAGGCTCTCAAAAAAATCTAGACATAAGACATTTTAAACTCGTTTTAATGTCATTTTTCAGAAAAATAATTGGCCTTTCGAATGCAATAAACCGTTGTTCAATTGGTGCATTTGTTACTTTTTAACGGAAGTACGAAAAAAATGAAAAAGACTTTTGCATCAACCTAATAAATCTAGATATACTAAAACTTTTTGTTTAGTGGCACGGAAACAAAGCCTGAAAAGCCGCGCTGCTGTCGTATGGTTGCTCACTCGGGACGACCTTCAAAAAGCCGATCGACAGCATCTCCTCGTGCGATTCCACCTTGGCTTCCCGATGTACCATGTATGTTCTATTTTCTTAATTTAACTTATTATCTAACTTATTTAAAATCTTAGTTCACTCAAAAAGCCTGGGCGAAAGTGGTGAGACGTGCACTCGTCGAGGTTGAAAAAGAAATTGTGGGCCACGGACGAAGACGACGACTCGGAATCAGCCTCGATCGCTATTAGTGTTGGCAACATCAGTATCAACTCTTTGGTAACTTTGTCTAATTAGAACTTCACCATTTTTTCTTTACAGTCACATGAAGTGGAAAATCAGGAACATCTCGAAGCTAATGACGCCCAGCTCGCTCGTTTAGAGGAAAAGCTCGACGAAATTGCCAACGATGTCCGCAATGTCTTGCAGATTCAGAAATTTATTAGATGTCATTATTATCTTAAATTTTTAACGTAATCTTTTGCCATTTTAGCTTCTGGGATACGAAGGCAATGAGAGAAAGCTTCGGCGAGGCCTGTGAAAAGTTCAACGATGAAAAGTCACCCTGACGGACTTTTCATCGTTGAACTTTTCACAGGCCTCGACGAAGCTTTCTCTCATTGGCTTCGTATCCCAGAAGCTAAAATGGCAAAAGACCCGTTTCGAAGACTCGTTTTTTTGCGTTTTGCTATCATTTTCTCGTGCTAAACTTGATGTATTGACTTCGTTGAATAAATACATTCAGTAAACTGACTGAATATCTTTTTCTAGCTTATTTTGTAAAACTTGGATTTTATATGTCGTAGCCGATTAAGGATTTCAGCCGAAGAAGTCTCAGACTAGCCGAAGAAGTCTCAGGCTAGCCGAAGAAGTCTCAGACTAGCCGAAGAAGTCTCAGACTAGCCGAAGAAGTCTCAGACTAGCCGAAGAAGTCTCAGGCTAGCCGAAGAAGTCTCAGACTTCTTCGGCTAGCCGATTAAGTCTCAAATTTTTTTGCATTTTGAGGCTTTAAATTTCAAATTTTATTGAGTAAACAAACATTAATAAAAACAAAACATTAACATACCAAAACAAACTGAAATTTACTTATTCTTGCAGGTGTTGCTCTTGTGGCATCGGCTGTTGCATTGCAGGTTGGCTTTCCAGCAGGCGCATCGCCCGTTCACACATCCATTTGTGCAGTTGCAATGCTTGTGACCTGAAAGAAACTTAAAACAGGACTATTTAAAAGTTTACCTTGAGTCCCAGTCAGTGATTGTGATCCTACGGCGGCTCGAAAACTTGTGGCACTTCTTCGAACGAAAGGAACTTATTATTGGCGGGCTCAAATTGATTTCTTGTCAGTCTAATCTTTGAAAAATTATCTAGAAAGCAAGAATAACGCTTAGACATGGGAAAATTCCAAACGAAACCTAATTCCACCGTCGTTTTCTCAGCCGTCTCTTGGTCGATTGTTCTGAAATTTTGTTTACAAATAGAAATTAGCATTCTCTGTTTGTAAACAAAATTTCAGAACAATCGACCAAGAGACGGCTGAGAAAACGAAGGTGGAATTAGGTTTCGGTTGGAATTTTCCCATGTCTACAACATATACATGTTGTAGGCGATGAAGGATTTCAGCCGAAGAAGTCTCAAAAACGAAATGTTGAGTTATGTATTGACTCAAGTCAACACCACAAATTCAACCTCTCACAAAATAAGGATATCAAAAAATTTCGAAATTTAAATGATCTCGTTTCTTTTAAAAATATGACGTCATCTTTCTCGTCAAATATTTCGTTTTCAGTTTTCAGCAAAAAAAAGTGCACCCAAGCGTTTGTGAATTTTGACGAAAAGACTCAAAAATCTCCAGAAATCTAAAAGTTCTTTCCTGGTTTTAAAAAAAAATCTTAAGGGTTCTTTTTTTTGGTTGAAATGGTTAGGGAAAAAAATTGGACCTAAAAATGGCAAAGCTGAAAAGGGAAAGGGAAAGAGAAAGAGAAAGAGAAAGAGAAAGAGAAAGAGAGGAGGAGGAAGAGAAAGAGAGGAAGAGAGGAAGAGAGAAAGTCACATTGTTGAGCTTGAAGCGAAAATTTCCTCTCTAAAAGTTTTGAAGAACTTGGAGATCGGAAATTTCTTATTTCTACTTGAGAGTTTGGGATTTCGTCTAGGCATTTTTTCTGAATCTTCTTTCTTTTAGCTTCTTCCTTTCATTCTCTTCCTTTCATCCTCTTCCTTTCATCCTCTTCCTTTCATCCTCTTCCTTTCCTCCTCTTCATTTCCTCCTCTTCCTTTCATCCTCTTCATTTCCTCCTCTTCCTTTCATCCTCTTCATTTCCTCCTCTTCCTTTCATCCTCTTCATTTCCTCCTCTTCCTTTCATCCTCTTCCTTTCATCCTCTTCCTTTCCTCCTCTTCCTTTCATCCTCTTCCTTTCATCCTCTTCCTTTCCTCCTCTTCCTTTCATCCTCTTCCTTTCCTCCTCTTCCTTTCCTCCTCTTCCTTTCATCCTCTTCCTTTCATCCTCTTCCTTTCATCCTCTTCCTTTCATCCTCTTCCTTTCATCCTCTTCCTTTCCTCCTCTTCCTTTCCTCCTCTTCCTTTCATCCTCTTCCTTTCATCCTCTTCCTTTCATCCTCTTCCTTTCATCCTCTTCCTTTCATCCTCTTCCTTTCATCCTCTTCCTTTCATCCTCTTCCTTTCATCCTCTTCCTTTCATCCTCTTCCTTTCATCCTCTTCCTTTCATCCTCTTCCTTTCATCCTCTTCCTTTCATCCTCTTCCTTTCATTTCCAAAATTTCAAAGCCATTTTTTTACTATAAAAGATTTCACCTTTTCTAGAAACAAGTATTGCATTCCAGAAACGCGAAAAGTTAAAGAAATCGATCTTTTAATTGAATCATTAACTTAATAGCATCAAAAAAAAGGCATTAAAGAAGTTGAAAATGCGTTAAAAACTTAAAAAAAACTTCCTAGCCCTATTCCATGTTCATAGTTTGGTATTTTTTTTTAAATTTCCATAAAAAGTTTCCTCAGTTTAACTGAACTTAATCTCGATTTCTTTAACACCGATTTCTTTAACAGTTCACAACTCGTTTGTTTCCCTCAACAATGGGTTGTGGTGCTTCGGTGGAAGATTCTTCGGTGTCAGCTTCACCAACTCCAAATCATTCAAATGATCGACACAATCGTCTCTCGGTTGTTTCACTTGGTTTACCGGGACAAGACGAGGATGCAATGTCAGCGTCAAGGTAAATATTATAGATTTACTTCTGATCATTGAGATAATGATCTAGAAAAAAATTCACAAACATTCTTCAGAAAGCCTTTTTATTTCAAAAACCCTTTTCTTATTTTAACCAAACAATGGGGAAACCGGATGTCATGGGGAAACGAGGGGAATTTTGGGGGAGATGGAAATGGAAAACAAATGGAGTATGTACAAATGTACAAATGGAATATGTACAAATGTACAATGGAAATGGAAAACAAATGGAATATGTACAAATGTACAAATAGAATATGTACAAGTAGAATATGTACAAATAGAATATGTACAAATAGAATATGTACAAATAGAATATGTACAAATAGAATATGTACAAATAGAATATGTACAATGGAATATGTACAAATAGAATATGTACAATGGAATATGTACAATAGAATATGTACAATGGAATATGTACAATAGAATATGTACAATAGAATATGTACAATAGAATATGTACAATAGAATATGTACAATAGAATATGTACAATAGAATATGTACAAATAGAATATGTACAATAGAATATGTACAAATAGAATATGTACAAATGAATATGTACAAATGAATATGTACAATGGAATATGTACAATGGAATATGTACAATAGAATATGTACAATAGAATATGTACAATAGAATATGTACAATAGAATATGTACAATAGAATATGTACAATAGAATATGTACAATGGAATATGTACAACGGAATATGTACAAATAGAATATGTACAATGGAATATGTACAACGGAATATGTACAATGGAATATGTACAATGGAATATGTACAATGGAATATGTACAATGGAATATGTACAAATGAATATGTACAATAGAATATGTACAATAGAATATGTACAAATGAATATGTACAATAGAAATTGGAAAAGAGATGAGAAATTGAGGAAGATTTTTCGAGTTATTAAATGAATGTTTCCTTTTTAGTGTCCCTTCAATGAACTTTCCCTTTTAGTGTCCCTTCAATGGAACCACCACCTACAATGCCGTCAACAGGTTTTGGCGGAGAAGAGGAGAAAATCTGTAACACTGAATTGAGGTCAAAATTCGACTATAATCATTTATACGATTAGACAAATTTAGAATTAAATGGATTGTGCGAAAGTTGACCGAGCATTTCCCCATTCACGAGGAGCCGCAATGGATCGCCGAGCGACTGAATCGCAAAACGTCTACAGGTCCTACTTTATGAGAGATAGATTTGGAGATTGTGCACATTTTGCACATTTTGCACATTTTGCATCGTTTGCAGATTTTGCAGCTTTTGATAGCTCTCGTGCGCTCCAGATAACCGATTGGCATGCTGGATTCAGTTGCTTAGCGCTTTGAAATTCTTAGATAAAGCCTCGAAGTCGACACTGTTGTGCGACTTGGGCAATTCGTGGAATTTTGCCCGAATTTTATCAAAGAAATCTCGAGTGCGCTCCAGGATTGTCTTTTGCAAAGTTTTTAAAAACCTAGAGTCAATAAATCGCAAGTTTTCTTCTCGAAGTCTTAGCAAGCAAGCAAGCAAGCAAGCAAGCAAGCAAGAAAGCCTGTTTTCTAGAAATCGAATCTTCTACCGTAATCCGGATCACACTTGCCTGGGAATCTGAGGATCCACGTTTGCCAAGATCTGTGGTTTTAAAGGTTTGGAAAAAGGGAAATGGAAATGGAAATGAAAAATAAAAAATGAAAAATGGGGAAATTTCATCATTTTCATCGTCATGTAAAGTTAAATACAAATTTCAAAAAAATTTTCTTTAGATTCCGCTCGCCAAAGAGGCTCGAGAAGACGAAAAAGGCCGATTTTACTATACTTTATTTAAGAGGTTGAGAGAAAATTGAGAATTTTCGAGAAATTCACAAATTTTTAGAGAATGTAATGCTTTTGATTGGCTACAACACGTCAAAGATTTCTCGACCCCAATAATTTATCATATAAAGGTAAGAAAGTCAATGTTTTTTTTCATATTTTCATCCAAGCTGGATCTCACTAGAGAAAAGCATCAGATCAAGGTGCTTTTTTGCAGTCCCCACAAAGCTGCAGTCCCCACAAAGCTGCAGACCCCACAAAGCTGCAGACCCCACAAAGCTGCAGTCCCCACAAAGCTGCAGTCCCCACAAAGCTGCAGTCCCCACAAAGCTGCAGTCCCCACAAAGCTGCAGTCCCCACAAAGCTGCAGTCCCCACAAAGCTGCAGTCCCCACAAAGCTGCAGACCCCACAAAGCTGCAGACCCCACAAAGCTGCAGACCCCACAAAGCTGCAGTCCCCACAAAGCTGCAGTCCCCACAAAGCTGCAGACCCCACAAAGCTGCAGACCCCACAAAGCTGCAGACCCCACAAAGCTGCAGTCCCCACAAAGCTGCAGACCCCACAAAGCTGCAGACCCCCACAAAGCTGCAGTCCCCACAAAGCTGCAGTCCCCACAAAGCTGCAGACCCCACAAAGCTGCAGACCCCACAAAGCTGCAGACCCCACAAAGCTGCAGTCCCCACAAAGCTGCAGACCCCACAAAGCTGCAGACCCCACAAAGCTGCAGTCCCCACAAAGCTGCAGTCCCCACAAAGCTGCAGACCCCACAAAGCTGCAGACCCCACAAAGCTGCAGTCCCCACAAAGCTGCAGTCCCCAAAATTTGAGTTTCCAGTTGAATTGAGTCCCTCAAACGCTAGGCTGACTAACGAAAGGCATCAGATCAAGGTGGTTTTAAAGCCACGGGATTCTATAAAGCCACCGGGGCTTCATAGAATCGGCTATGCTGATTCTGAATATGCTTTTACTTTTTTCAAAGAGGCTCTGTAACGCGAGAAATCTAGCATCAAAGTTTCGAGTTTAGGATGATTTTCGAGGCGTTATAGGCTTTTTTTTCTCTTCCTTAAACAAAGATCTAGTGGTGCGGTGGATAGTATGCTCGGCTCTAAAAGTTTTCAATTTTTTTTTGGCTTGGGTTCAAGTTCGCTGCCGGTTTATTCTTTTTACTTTGAATTCCACTATTTTTCATTCAATTCAATTCCATTCCGCGTATTGAATTCCACTATTTTTGCATGCATAAGCACTATTCCACCGAGTTCTGTAGGTAACCGCACCAATATGGTGAACTGGTGCAAGACTGGCCCCCTAGGCCCCCTTCCCTCGGGGGTTGGGATAACAAGTGACCCAAATGGACTTGTCTAAGGCCCAAGCACATATAAGCAGGTAGCCTTCACCTCCTACATCGCAAGCATAATAAAGGAGGTAGCCTTCTCCTACATTTCCAGCACATATAAAGCAGGTAGCTTTCTCCTCCTACATCGTCTCCTACCTCGTCCCATCCTCACAAACAACAGAATATTCCCTAGGTTTTAACGTGTAAATTGTGATTATCTGTGTGCAAAATCGATCACCGGTAACCCCGGTATACACTAAGTTGTCCGTGAAATCATGAACAATGCTCGAGCAACAGTAAATCACATTTATAAATAAAGCATTTACGTTCCCAAATCATTTCTAAACATTCTTCCGTTAATCAAAGTCAAAATCAATCAAACCACATGCCATAAACACTTTCTAATCGTTTTCTCAAAAAAAAGCAAAGAGAACATACCGGCAGCGAACTTGAATCCAAGCCAAAAAAAAAACGGAAACGTTTTAGAGCCGAGCATACTATCCACTCCGCCACTAGCTCTTTATTTAAGGAAGAGAGAAAAAGCTTGTAAGGACTCTGAAGGGGGCCCTAGGGGGCCAGTCTTGTACCAGTTCACCATATTGGTGCGGTTACCTACAAAACTCGGTGGAATAGTGCTTATGCATGCAAAAATAGTGGAATTCAATACGCGGAATGGAATTGAATTGAATGAAAAATAGTGGAATTCAAAGTAAAAAGAATAAACCGGCAGCGAACTCGAACCCAAGCCAAAAAAAAAATGGAAACGTTTTAGAGCCGAGCATATTATCCACTCCGCCACTAGCTCTTTATTTAAGGAAGAAAGAAAAAGCCTATAACGCCTCGAAAATCAGTCTAAACTAAACTTTGATGCTAGATTTCTCGCGTTACAGAGCTTCTTTGAAAAAAGTAAAAGCATATTCAGAATCGACATAGCCGATTCTATAAAGCCCCGGTGGCTTTCGTGGCTAAAAAACCACCTTGATCTGATGCCTTTCGTTAGTCAGCCTAGCGTTTGAGAGACTCAATTCAACTGGAAAGTCAGTCTAGCCAATTCAACTGGAAACTCAAATTTTGGGGACTGCAGCTTGTCCGGTCATTCTATCAGTTAAATTTTAGAAACACGGAAACGAGGATGGTGGCGGATGTATTATAATGGAGGATCTCGGCGAGCGGGCACAGCAACAAGACGAGAAGAATGGATTGGGGGTGAGTGTAAAAGGCAATTCCTAGTCCAGAATAGACCAAAAGCTAGCTTCTGAACTGATTTGAGCCACAAAATGGCAGAAGAATCAAAGCAAGTCCTGATTTCTTGGCTTCGAGTCAAAATTCTTATTCCAAGCTTCTCCAGATACTTTGCCAGGCAACAATCAAGACAACAGTCAAGACAACAGACTAGACAACAGACTAGGCAACAGACTAGACAACAGACTAGGCAACAGACTAGGCAACAGACTAGACAACAGACTAGACAACAGACTAGACAACAGACTAGGCAACAATCAAGACAACAGTCAAGACAACAGACTAGACAACAGACTAGGCAACAGACTAGACAACAGACTAGGCAACAGACTAGGCAACAGACTGACAACAGACTAGACAACAGACTAGACAACAGACTGACAACAGACTGACAACAGACTAGACAACAGACTGACAACAGACTAGGCAACAGACTGACAACAGACTGACAACAGACTAGACAACAGACCAGACAACAGACTAGGCAACAGACTAGACAACAGACTAGACAACAGACTAGACAACAGACTAGACAACAGACTAGACAACAGACTAGGCAACAGACTAGACAACAGACTAGACAACAGACTAGACAACAGACTAGACAACAGACTAGGCAACAGACTAAACAACCTTTCCCAGGCCTTAGAGATAATCTTTCCCCTGTTAGTCTCTAAAAGTGTCGAAAAAGAGCTACCGTAATCCTTTTCTACTCGTCTATTTAGATAGAAAATGTGGGTGATTTGCTCTTCCAACTGGCTCGACTCCATGCTCAATCATGGCGTGATAAACAGTGGACAACGATGGTTTGTCAAAATCTAATCTAGTTTGCAGTCCATTATTTTAGATAGCTGACTTGCCAGTATCGTTTTTTTCGAATGAGGCTGGAAGTTTCGCTGATGTCCTTGAGTATTTCACGACGAAGGGCGCAGATCCAATGCGGCTAAAGGTTTGTCGTTCATTTTTACGATTCCAGTAACTATGGATGTCATTTGGAGAAATGACGTTGTTAAAATGATTCAGTGAAATGAAATGCTACAGTACAGTACAGAAATGATACAGAAATGTACAGAAATGTACAGAAATGTACAGAAATGTACAGAAATGTACAGAAATGTACAGAAATGTACAGAAATGTACAGAAATGTACAGAAATGATACAGAAATGATACAGAAATGATACAGAAATGATACAGAAATGATACAGAAATGATACAGAAATGATACAGAAATGTACAGAAATGATACAGAAATGATACAGAAATGATACAGAAATGATACAGAAATGATACAGAAATGTACAGAAATGATACAGAAATGATACAGAAATGATACAGAAATGATACAGAAATGATACAGAAATGATACAGAAATGTACAGAAATGATACAGAAATGATACAGAAATGATACAGAAATGATACAGAAATGATACAGAAATGTACAGAAATGATACAGAAATGATACAGAAATGTACAGAAATGATACAGAAATGATACAGAAATGATACAGAAATGTACAGAAATGATACAGAAATGATACAGAAATGATACAGAAATGATAAGAAATGATACAGAAATGTACAGAAATGATACAGAAATGATACAGAAATGATACAGAAATGATACAGAAATGATACAGAAATGTACAGAAATGATACAGAAATGTACAGAAATGTACAGAAATGTACAGAAATGATACAGAAATGATACAGAAATGATACAGAAATGATACAGAAATGATACAGAAATGTACAGAAATGATACAGAAATGTACAGAAATGTACAGAAATGATACAGAAATGTACAGAAATGTACAGAAATGTACAGAAATGATACAGAAATGATACAGAAATGATACAGAAATGTACAGAAATGTACAGAAATGATACAGAAATGTACAGAAATGTGCAGAAATGTGCAGAAATGATACAGTACAGTACAGTAACCTACCGGAATCTGTTATCTGTCAAATTCTCGATAAAACTCTAAAAAAGTTACGATAATTTGACAAAAAATAACCATTCTGGAGCGCAGAATAAAATTTTAGAAACTTTAGAAAAGCTAAAATATTGAAATTCCAGAAAATCGAGAAATTCTTCGCTGCTTCCTATCTAGAGAATACAGTGAACGAGTCATGTGATGAGTTGAAAGTGGCAAAGGTTTGAAGGCAAAGAATTGTTGTGTGACTTCCAGATTGACTGAAAATTATTTAAATTTAACTAGAATCATCTAAAATAATCTAAAATAATCTAAAATCATCTAAAATCATCTAAAATCATCTAAAATCATCTAAAATCATCTAGAATTATCCAACCCAGAATTCTCCCGGAAATGGGGCGCAAGTGACTTCCCCTTTTAGTGGTTCACTCAGGTATTCTATCCTCTTTCTATTCTTTCCCTTACAAAAACTTCTCCCCACCTGGTGATGAATGGAAAGTGGCAAAGGTTCGAAAGGCAAAGAATTGTTGTGTGACTTCCAGATTGACTGAAAATCATCTAAAATCATCTAAAATCATCTAGAATCATCTATAATCATCTAGAATCATCTAAAATGATCTAAAATGATCTAAAATCATCTAAAATCATCTAAAATCATCTAAAATTATCTCAAAATATCTCAAAAAAGTGATTTCAAGGTATTGGTACACGGAGAGCCGTTCTCATCAAATATCTTCGTCGATATCGTCGACACCGATCATCATCCAATCGCCGGCATTGTCGATTGGACAAGTGTGTGCTCCAGTTTGAAAGAAAGATTTGCTTAAATTGTTTAAAGCTATAAGAAAAAGCTAATAAGAAGCTTAGAAAGCTAATAAGAAGCTTAGAAAGCTAATAAGAAGCCTAGAAAGCTAATAAGAAGACTAGAAAGCTAATAAGAAGCCTAGAAAGCTAATAAGAAGCTTAGAAAGCTAATAAGAAGACTAGAAAGCTAATAAGAAGACTAGAAAGCTAATAAGAAGACTAGAAAGCTAATAAGAAGACTAGAAAGCTAATAAGAAGACTAGAAAGCTAATAAGAAGACTAGAAAGCTAATAAGCAGACTAGAAAGCTAATAAGAAGCCTAGAAAGCTAATAAGAAGCTTAGAAAGCTAATAAGGAAACCCAATTCCCAGGTTGCCATGCGGGATGTTTTGGAGAAGATCTAGCAAAAGCGATTTGCTGGAATTTGAATCCCAGAGAACGAGCGACACAAACCTCTCAACTCCTTCAAGCATATCACTATCAATTGGTGATTTTACAAAGCTAAACTACTGGACAATGAAATATGATATTTGAAAACAGATCGTCACTTTCGCGCCTCACTTTCTCCCTTGTCTAACTCCCTTTTCTTTACCGTATTTCTAAATATTAATCTTACCATTGTGTAGCCATTGAAAAGAGCTTTCAGAAAATGTATAACATTAATAGTTTAAACTCAAAGACAATGGAGTTACAGACGCGCGAAAGTGACGATCTTGTAATCGATCTTTTTTCAAATATTCATATTTCATTGTCCAGTACTTTCCAGTACTAATCACACTCCAAAAAAAAAACAAAACTCTTCAGGTGCTTCAAAGTGGAAACGCGTCGATTACAAGCGAGCAAGTCCGAGCCGCGTACGAGAAATTTGTGCCCGTTGCCACTGTGAGCTTTGTTCACAAGGTTTTTTTTAAACTGGTTACAATTTCACTTTTACAACGTTTAGGTGATGGTTTTACGTGGGAAAAGTGAGCCCGATGCGTTGATTGAACGAGCCAACAGTCTCATAAATCAGGTGAAAGGCTGAATGAACAAATTTTCGACAAATTTCAACCCTTAGACAAGAAATGAGCAATTCCCTAACAATACTCTGTACAATTCCCTAGCAATACTCTGTACAATTCCATAGCAATACTATGTACAATTGCCTAGCAATATTCTGTACAATTCCCCAACAATACTCTGCACAATTCCCTAGCAATACTCTATACAATTCCCTAGCAATACTCTGTACAATTCCCTAGCAATACTCTGTACAATTCCCCAACAATACTCTGTACAATTCCCTAGCAATACTCTGTACAATTCCCTAGCAATACTCTGTACAATTCCCTAGCAATACTCTGTACAATTCCATAGCAATACTATGTACAATTCCCTAGCAATATTCTGTACAATTCCCCAACAATACTCTGCACAATTCCCTAGCAATACTCTATACAATTCCCCAACAATACTCTGCACAATTCCCTAGCAATACTCTGTACAATTCCCTAGCAATACTCTGTACAATTCCCTCCATTCCCAGGTTTACAACACCGTTCGCATCAACGAGGAGCTCATCGATGATGATAAAATGAACAATAATAATTGGACTTCGTAAACCTTTCAACATTTATCTCTTTCATTTATCTCTGAATCAAAGCTCATTGAATAAAAAGTTAATTTCTTTAATTCATTCATTAATTTCTTTAATTTTCAATTTTTCTCAATCAATTCGATTAAACTCTCAGTTTTCTTTTTTCATTTTTCTTTTTCTTTTTTCTCTTTTACTTTTTTACTTTTTACAACTGATTAATTTGAGTCGGGGTAGAGAAGAAAGGAATGGACTGAGGATGAGAGAGAGCAAATAGGTGCGGTTGGGGCTGCGGCTGGGGTTGGGGTCTGTTTGGGGGCTTACAAATAGAGAAATCTCTTCTCTCTTTGACTTTTTTTCGTTTCTCGACCAGAAGTCGATCCCCTTGTGACCTATTTTCGAATTCCTGGAATGCACGATATCGATTTTTTTGCTTTCAGTTGATTTTAAAAGTTGATTTTATAAAATTCAAATTTCTCTACTGTTTTGCCGCAAAAATTTGCATATGAAATGAATTTGAATGTAAAATTTGGTATTTAATAGAAATCCTGGATAGCACAGCGTTGATTTATGAATTTAAAATATATTGATTTCGTTAAAATATCGATTTCGTAAAAGTGGAACTGCTACGGTGGACCCAGATTTTTTTGTATCTTTTTATTAAACAATTCACTAATTCTCTTGATTGCTTTAGTTCTCGTGCTATCCAGATTGAAAGAAAAACTGATTTTTTATCAGATTTTTTTGAGAAATGTATCCAAAATCGTAGGCAGCCTTGAAACTCAACCCAGACCCCACTCAGACTAGTATTTCCCCTTATCTCCCTGCAATCACTGATTCTTCTTTCTTCTTTCTTTCTTCTTTCCCATCTGTGCCTTCCAGCATCACTATATACTCTTTCTATTTTACTATTTTCTTTGTGTCAACGAGCTGGACTGGACAACGAGCTGAAAATGAGTGGACTTTCGAAGTCGAACGAGTGGTTCTGTTAATATCGCTTATCTTTCCTCTGCAATACAAAGAGAACAGAAAATGATTGATTTTAGAAAGAACACTGATAGAAAGAAAGAAAGAAAAGAAAAGAAAAGAAAAGAAAGAAAGAAAGAAAAGAAAAGAAAAGAAAGAAAGAAAGAAAGAGCACTTATATTTTCTTTGTTTTCTAGCTGTCATTTAAATTTGATAGCATTTTTTTGTAAATTTTATTTTTAAATGAATATTCTTGAAGTCTTTGTATATGTTGTGTCCGATTTAGATTTCCGTCCGATTTAGTTTGAACTTATCGCGGACGTCCGATATAGACTGTAATCAATAAAAGACCTTTGAAAAATGCAGAAAACTACAGAAAACTCTTAAGAACATATATTAAGCATGTTTATATTATTGTTCAATCCATGTAAGATTTAGATTGAATCTAAATCGGACGTCCGCGATAAGTTCAATCTAAATCGGACGGAAATCTAAATCGGACACAACATATATATACTTTATCCGACAAGGAAAAGTGACAATGCAAACAGATTGAACAGCGTAGACGAAGAAAGATAATTGATATACAAACACAACGACAATTAGACACGTGTATATATGACATTAAAAACTAATTTAAAATTGACAGAGCTACAAGATCGAGCTTATATATTGAGGATTTAAAATAGTTCAGAGACGAAAAAATATCACAAGGTAACTTATTCCAAATACGAGGAACACGACAAGCAAAAGAATGATACAGTTGGCGGTTATGAAAGCTTTGAAACGGGGGTAATCTGAAAGTTGTGACTACGAGTTCTTCTGGCGTGATTCGAAAACTTAAAGAGTCCTTTAAGTTTATTTAAATAAAAATAAAAATTTTTGTTTTTTGTAAATTTTATTTTTAAATGAATATTCTTGAAGTCTTTCAAGGCTTCAAATCCAAGAATTTTCAAATTCAATCAAAAAAAAGCCTTTTAAGCCAAAAAGCCTTTTCTTTTCTCAATTTTAGTTAATTTGGATAGCACAAAAGCTTCTTCAATCAAAAAAAATAAGAAAATTTTGCAAATTTTATTTTTTATTTTAAGCTGTTTACAATTCTTGCCTTTTTTTTCTCATCCTTAGCTTGATTTCTTGAAATTCAATTATTTTTGGCTAATCTGGATTACAGGAAAATGTGTTAAACTATTAGAAAAAAACCTTTCTTTCATTCTTTCAAAATTTCTGTTTACCTTACAAGTGACGCATCGAGTTCAAGACTTAAAATCACGGTTTTCAAAATTAATTCCTTTATTTGACTATAAAAACAGGTTTCCTGGAAGTCACAAGCTAATTTGCATGATCGAAATTCGTGATTTGAGGAATTTGAGAGATCATTCAGTTGGAGGAGAGGTAGAGCTGGAGGAGAGGTAGAGACGAGAGGGTCCACCGCGCTCGGTTTGTCTATCGATTTTCTCTCTTCTTTTCATTCTTTCACCTCTCTGACTCTCTCCCTAGCCATTGGAGAGACGAAAAAAAGAGGCGTGGCCGTGCTCACATGTTCGTTGTAAGAGAGGAAAGGAGAGAGCTGGCTGCGTCGCGTCTCCCCCCAACCCTCCCCTCTCCCTTTTTGCGATGGCGATCGATTTTCCTTCTCTCTTTACGCTGCGTGCGCTCCAGATCGACCTTTGCATCGGGCAATTGGTGGATAGCGATCACCGACAAAGCCATATCTATCCCATATCTATTGCGTCTTGCATTGGGGTGCCACTTATTGAAGAAATGATTGCCCTGCGAACTGCTAATGAGTGCGATGAGTGACAGGATGGCGCTTTTTGGGGAAGGTTTTTATTTTTGAAGTGTCTGAAGCACTAAATCCACCTGGATCCAGGCCAACCCGATTTCCAACTGCAGTAGAAATCTATTTTTTTTCACTTTTTCATAGCCAATAGTCTAAATGACTTCCAGCTTGCACATTTGATTCAATCATTTAGCTGAATATCTTTATTATTGTTATTATATAGTCTCGAACTCGTTTGGGGTGGGTTGGTTGGTAGGAACTCTGTTTTTTATCACTTTTTCATAGCCAATAGTCTAAATGATTTCCAGCTTGCATATTTGATTCAATCATTTAGCTGAATATCTTTATTATTGTCATGATATAGTCTCGAACTCGCTTGGGGTGGGTTGGTTGGTAGGAACTCTGTTTTTTATCACTTTTTCATAGCCAATAGTACAAATGATTTCCAGCTTGCACATTTGATTCAATCATTTAGCTGAATATCTTTTTTATTATCATTATATAGTCTCGAACTCGTTTGGGGTGACCACAAACAGTCTTGGAATTGCTTGAAACCTTGTCAAATCCTATCGTGTTTTCCAATTTGCCCAATCCGCTTAAAATCTTTATTGAATGAACATTTTCTAGTGGTCAAAAATCTAGTCATTTTTCATTTTCTTATTCCCAATTTTTTTCAATATCGATTTTCAGAGTATTTTCTTTTCACCAAATGCTTTTCTGCCTTCTAGATTTTCGATTTTAAAAGTTTTATAAGTCAAAAAAAAAGGGAAATCATTTAAAAAATACCGACTGGGGCTACCAGTGGTGAATTTATCGCATACACGAAATATATCAATCACAATACAACGACACACACAATACTAGGCTATATCTTAACTTAACCCACGTCATGACAGACGGCTCCCTAACCCTAAGCTCAATGGGGAACTAAATAGCTTTTTTGGTGGTGAAGGGAAGATGACGATGAAGGAGTGGCTTGTCACTTTAAAGAACTGGGGCCACAACCACCAGACTGCCCTCCAGAAAACCTCTCAACCCGAAGGGAAAGGAAATCCGAAGGGGGTGACCATGTCGCATGTGGGGTTCGAACCCTCGACCTTCCGATTAAGATAAAAGACACTTAACCAGTCAGCCACACGTGCACATTTAAAAGTAAATTTTTTGACAGTTTCCTGGAATTTTTGGAACTCATGCAATTTTTGGCAGTTTCCTCATGGAATTTTTGGCAGTTTCCTCATGGAATTCCTCATGAATGATTGTCATTTTATTTGAATTTATCGAGATTGATCTCATCGTTTTCCTCAAATCAAATCAATCAAATCAAATGAAAATTTTCAACTTCTGTGACATCCAGAATACTCAATTCTTGAAGAATTTCGAAAAATTCGCCCTTGAAGTTGACCAAAAGTTGACCAAAAGTTGACCAAAAGTTCTTGGTACGAGATTTATTTGCTAGTGAATGAAGAGTTGGGATTTGTTTTTTGTTTTTTTTTTTGTTTTTTGTTTTTTCTCTTTCTCTTTCTCTTTCGCTTCTTAATGTCTTAATCATAAATTAAAATGACAAAACCTTTTTAGTGGTGATTCTTTGTGTGTGTGTGTGTGTGTGTCATGAGTTCAGCAGCGGAATTCGATCGGCGGATTTTGGGGCAAAACGTGATCGCCACCCTATCACCAGTCAAATTAATTACACCGGTAAGTTTGAAAAATATTTAACCGGTTTGGAAATCAAAGCAACAACTAAACTGCGTTCCAATTTGAAAGTTTTCTTTTAAAAAGTTCGAAAAATATTTAACGAATCGCGAAAAATCGATTCGGTTTCGATTTTGACGAATTTTGGATGAATTTTGATGAATTTTGATGAATTTTGATGAATTTTGACGAATTTTGGATGAATTTTAAAGAATTTTAAAGAGTTTTGACGAATTTTGATGAATTTTGACGAATTTTGACGAATTTTGGATGAATTTTGACGAATTTTGGATGAATTCTAAAGAATTTTGACGAATTTTAAAGAATTTTGATGAATTTTGATGAATTTTGATGAATTTTGACGAATTTTGATGAATTTTGACGAATTTTGACGAATTTTGGATGAATTTTGATGAAATTTGGATGAATTTTGACGAATTTTGACGAATTTTGGATGAATTTTGACGAATTTTGACAAATTTTAATGAATTTTCTGAATTCTCACTAAATTAGAGTCCTCTATAAATAAAAAGTTAACTTTTAGCTTTTATTATGATTTATTATGCTCAAATTTAGACAAATTCCCCTC